TATTAAATTGTAAATAATATGATGCAGTGATTACGTTATGGACTTGGTAGGACCAATCATTGACATTGTGAAGTTTGTTGGTAGTCCAATTGTGAGATACCTAAAATATCAAATAAAATTCAACAATCATTTGGAACAATTCAATGTGAGCAAAGAAGGATTGAGCAATCGAAAACGTGAAATTGAATCAAGATTGAACATAGAGCTTCACTATGGGAAAGTTGCAAAGGAGGAAGTGCAAACATGGTTGAATGATGTGGAAAAGTTTCTTGCAAGACAGGAGGTTGCAAATGAAGTGAATAGTTGGGGATGTCTCTCATGTTGTTGTCGAGTAAAGATTCTAGAGGAAAGAGCTCAAGAAGCAAAGGAAATCTATGACAAAGGGGGTAGTTTCACTAACGAGTGTTTGGTCAAAGATGATCCATTCGTTTCAGCAGTGGAATTGCCAATAGAAGAACTACAAGGTAGTGGAGATGTCAAAGCAGAAATTTTGATGAGCTTGATGGGAGATGAAGTGATAAAGCTTGGAGTTTGGGGAATGGGGGGAGTTGGAAAAACAACAATCATGATGCATGTCCATAATGAGTTGTTGAACAAAGCCAAATTCAAGAAAGTAATTTGGGTAACTGTGTCACAAACCTTTGATATCTACAAATTACAAGAACAAATTGCATGCAGCTTGAACAGAAAGCTAGAGGAGAATCAAAATACAACTAATCGTGCAGCAGTGTTGTCAAAGATGCTAGAAGAACAGAAGCCTTACTTGTTGATTCTAGATGATGTGTGGAGGAGATTCAAACTTACAGCTGTTGGAATTCCTGAGCCATTCGTAAGTGATGGTTGCAAGTTGGTATTGACTACAAGATCACAAGAAGTTGCTCGTACCATGGACTGTAAGATAATTAAAGTGAAGACCCTTTCACAAAAGGAAGCTTTAAAGTTGTTTATAGATAAAGTTGGAGATATTGTTTTATCAGATCAAAGGTGCATTAAAGGAACTTTAGAATCAACTTTAAAGGGGATTGTAGATGAATGTGATGGCCTTCCCTTAGCAATTGTTACTGTTGCTAGTAGCCTGAAGGGAATATCGGAGCCACGGTTGTGGAGTGCTGCATTGAATCAATTGAAAGACTGCAAAAGAAATGTAGCATGCACAGATGATAATGATGATGCATTTGGGGTATTAAAATTTAGTTATGATCGTTTGAAATCCTCACAAATCCAACATTGCTTTTTATGCTGTGCATTGTATCCAGAGGACCACAATATCCCAATAGATGATATAATTGACTATTGGATTGATGAGGGGTTGATAGATGAAATGGAGACCATACAAGCAATGAAGGATGAAGGCCTTGATAGATTGAAGAAACTTCAAGACAATTGCTTGTTGGAATCCAGTAAATATAGATTTGAAAATGGTGTGAGAATGCATGATCTTGTTAGGGATATGGCATTGCAAATTACAAGAACGAGTCCTCGGTTCATGGTAGAAGCTGGTAAGGCGTTGACAAAGCTACATGAGAAGGGAGAATGGACGGAAGATCTTGAAAAGGTTTCATTAATGAGGAATAAGATAGAAGAAATTCCCTCAAGCATCCTATCTTCAAAATGCACAATGCTCACAACTTTGTTGTTATCCCACAATAATTTGTCAATAATTTCAGAATCTGTCTTTGAGAATATCCCTGCGCTCAAAATTCTTGATCTTTCCCACAATTTTCGGCTGAGGAGCTTGCCAAGTTCCATTTCCAAATTGGTGAATCTCACTACACTCTTGTTGCAATGGTGTCCATCCTTAACAGAGGTTCCAACTTTTTCAGAGTTTGGAGCTTTAAAAAAGTTAAACCTTAATTGGACAAATGTCGAAAAAGTTCCTAAAGGCCTAGAAATGTGTACAAATCTCAAATATTTTAGTCTTATGGGAAATTGTGACATATTAGATGATGCAATATCATTAAATCTCCCAAAACTACAACAATTATTTGTGGATGAGAGAATAGCGTTAAGAGGGGAAGTGATAGGGAGATTGGAGAAGCTGGAAGCTTTTCATGGCAGGTTCCATACAGTGCATGACTGGAGCAACTTTTTGAAATGTGTTTGTGATCAAGGAGATCAGTTGAGTAGATACTCTGTTGCAGTTGGAAAATATCCTCACCTCAGTCGCCCGACCCTTCCTGGAGGTTCTGGCCCGAGCTTTGTTGGAGGTTATTGCCCGGACATTCATGGTGATCGCACGGTGAAATTCGGTGGAGAGAATACAATATTGCCACCGTCAGTAGATGTCTTATACATTGGACGTTGTGACAACGTAAGAAGCTTAAATGATTTTTCTTCAATTAAAGATGCAACAGATTTGAGGGGCTGCGAGATTGCGGGTTGTGAAGGCATGGAGTGTGTTTTTACCTCGTGGATAAACCCACTCGTCCAAACCCTCGAGCAATTGAATCTTTGTGGATTGGTCAAGTTGGAAGGCCTATTTGACGCAGAAATGAATGCCATGTCCCCATCACCGCCACCTGGCACCTTTTCATCTCTTAAATCTATTCATCTTTTTTTATGTGGTAAAATAAAAAGGTTGATACCCTCTTGGAAGTTGTTAGGGAATCTCCAAAGTCTTGAGCGGATTGATGTCCAGCATTGTGAAGAATTGGAAGAAATAATAGCATCAGACCCAGAAGAAGGAGGGGACATCATCAAGGAGCTCATTCTTCCAAAATTAAAATATCTGAGTTTACGATTCTTGCGAGCATTAAAGAGCATCTGTGGTAGGAGGGCAGTAATGGTATGTGATTCTCTTGAAGTGATTTGGATTAAAAATTGCCAGTGCCTAAGGAGGATCCCTCTTTCTCTTCCCCTGGTTGATAACGCCCAACCATCTCCTCCTCCTTCCCTCAAAGCAATCGGTGCAGATTCAGAAGAATGGTGGGAATCGTTGGAGTGGGACCATCCCAATGCAAAGGTGGTCCTTCAACCCATGGTTCACTTTTAATCGTTGATATGCTATTCCCTCAAGACTCATTCCACAAGCAGGTTATATTCACATGTTCTTCCTCTTCTTCTTTTCAGTTGTGTGTGTCTTTTTGATTCCATGTGTCTTGAAAAACTAGCAAACGAGCTTGAACTTTTTGTCTGTTTAATTGTTTCTTGAATGATGTGTCTAGGGAAGCTTCAATTCTGCTTATTGCATCATGAAACGAGCTTTGATATTTTGTTATCAAATTTGCCCTTTTTATAAGGACTTTCATATTTTCTTATCAAATTGGTTGATTATTGTTAAAAATGTATGGTGCTGCTTAATTTACCCTTCTTTTGAGGTCTTTGATATTCAGTTGATTTTTAATAATGATTTCTTTTTTTTTTTAATTTAGGTTTGACTCTCTGCAAATCTTTGTGATGGCATTCATTTCCTACAAATTGAAGAATTTTCAACTACTGAATTTTTCCTTTTTTCAATTGATCAGGAAGCAGATTCAGTCTATCTTGTTCGGGAGGCTTCAAAGGATGTGCTTTCTACTTTCTAGTTTCTATCCTTGTGTGTATTTAAGTGTGATTGTTGTGCTTTCAATTTCATATTGTGTTTGTGATTGAGAATATTTGTGTTGAAAACGGGTTTCAAAGAATGTGCTTTCTACTCAATGTAAATGTACTTATAAAATATGTTGTCAATCCAATCTTTGTGATTTAAGCCTAAGCTGGAATTCCCCTTGGAACAATCAAATCAGCAATTAATTCTCTGCTTCTGTTTTGTTAGTGTGATAGCTTCATGTTCAACAGAACTACAGATGACAAGAATTCAATTGTTTGATTTTAAAGGTTCAGAGAAATTTTGCAAGCCAAGCATAAAGGTTGAGGACTCTTTCTCATTTTTGTAAGCACCCTGGTTGTAAACGAGCTTGAATTGTTTAGTTGTTTCATGAATGATGTGTCTAGGCAAGCTTGAATTCTACTTATTGCATCACAGAATGAGCTTTGTTATTTTTTTTTATCAAATTTACTCTTCATATAAGGTCTTTGAGAGTCCTATGCAAAACATCTTGCTTATTTATTTTGAGTTACAAACTGTTCTTTATAAAATTTCATTATTTTGGTAAACACCATACATAAATTCATTCAGGGCTTCTTGAAGGAAGCATTCAACTATTTATATCATCACCTTATTACTTCATTTGCTATATATATATATATATATCACTAGTAAACATTATGCATGTTCTATGTATATGTCTTAATCAACATGTATCATCACTCTTTTACTTCTTATGAGAAATCTTTTTGAAGAAGAGTGTAAAAGACAGTGGCTAGCTCTAAAGGATGCCATTAAGGGCACAGATGTTGTGTTGACATTGTTGACTGGTGCATTTTCTTGCAAACTGGAGAGAACTTTATTGGGTTTGGTTGTAATTGATGAAGCTGCTTAGACACTTAAGATAGCATGCTTGATAGCTCTACTAAAGGTAATGATGTGCAGAATATACATGTAAAGCTCTTCCCCTCATAAAGTGATATTAGTTACACTGCCATGCTTATTCATGTTTTGAAGGTCAAGTTGTATCATTGCAGGAGACCATCTTCAGCTTCCCTGAGAGGAAAGGGTTGGGAAGAACCTGTATGGAGATGAAATTAGATCTATGATCATTGTAATCAACTTTATTACAATCATTTACTGACCTAAGCTTATATGAAAACAATAATCCAAATTAATTTCTGTACAGCTCACATACTGTAGGATGAAGGATGCACTATACAGTCAAGGGTGTGCTGCCAATGTAGTTGCTGTTATTTTTGGAGAAAGACCGTCCATGGTCACCGGCTCCTTTAACTCCTATCTTGATTCCTCTCAGGTGTGTAATTATTTAGCAATCTTGATTTTGTGTAGCTTGGTTCTTTTGGCTTTGGTGTAAATAACAACCTACGCTATTTATCTTTGTTGAGAAACGGATAGTAATCTAGTTATGTTGCTTGGTGAAGTGCTAAAACTAACCATTGAGGTCTTCTACTTGTGCCTATG